AGCTAAAAAAAAAAAAAAAAAAAGCATTTTTCTAAAAAGAGGTTGTTTTAAGGCAAACAACCATTCTTATAGCATTAAAAATAAAAATAAGGGCTGGGGATTTAGCTCAGTGGCGCTGTACCTGCCTTGCAAGTGCAAGGTACTGAGTTGGATCCCCAGTACCAAAAAAATAAAATAAAATAAAATACATACATAAATAAATAAATAAATGTAAAAAGTAAGAGAGGAGTAAATGAGAAGTACATTATTACATCTTACTTGTCTGAGGTCAATGAATGCTAGCTGCAGGGTATCCCCTTGGAATCCTGGCACAGGTTCAGAGCTGGCAAACACTGTTTTAAAAATATAAATTAAGGAGAATTAAAACAAGATTGCAAAACATGAGTTTATCTGCTAAATTTCTACTCATTACAAATGTACTATAATATTTACACATAACCATTTGAAATGAAGGCTATTTATAACCTTCAACTATTAAGAATGTTTCCCACACCCATTACCACAAAAATTTTAATAATTTTAAACTTCTAATCTGCAATTTAATCCCTGTAATCCTTAATCACAATAAATTTAGAAGGGTTATCCTAAATAAAGTTGAAGAGTAGTAATATACTTCAATCAAAGTAAAATGTTTTTAGCCTTAGGTGAATGAGTATAGAGGCATTTTGAAAGTATAATAATTCCATGGCTGTCAACATATTTCAAAATATCTGCTTTGCTATACAATATACTCTATAAAAATCTCACTGCTAGTTAATGGCAATAAAAAGCAGAAACCAAGGTAAAAAGTCAGAAGTTTACATTAAGAAAGCCAGTACAGTGGACGCTTGACTTACAAACTCAATTCGTTCACAAGGGCTGGTTGTAACTCAAGTTGGTCAACTGAAGGCTCAGGCTCCTCTACACAGCCTTCAAAGTCTCTCTCCTGTGTACAGGTAGATCTCAGTGTCCTTAGAGAGACATTGACCCAGGATTTCTCAATTAACCCCACACAGGAAAGGATGCTGTAATGTTCCTTCCAGAACTTTTTTTTTTTTTTTGGTACTGGGGATTGAACTTGGGACCTTGAGCTTTCGAGGCTGGCGGCAGAACCTTCCAGAACTCTTTAAGGGTTAAATCTGTATCTGAGACCACCTGGAAGCACAAGCAGCCAGCATGCAGGTCGTAACTCAAGACTTTGTAAGTTAAAACTAAAATTACAGTTGTAACCCAAGTTGTTCGTATGTCAGGCTGGTTGTAACTCAAGGATCCACTGTAAAATGTTCTAAGAAGCAAACTCAGGATTATTCAAGAACGGTCATGTCTTTTAATATATTTTTTTCATAAAGAAATCCTTTAAAATTACAAGATATCTTAAGACAGGATTTTAAAAATTCAAAAGATTTTTCAATAATTTTTTGTGTTTTAAGAACTAATATTACTAAGATGAAGTATGACTGGAAAATAGGGTGAATGCTGAAATTTTAAAAAATTTATTATGGTGAAAGATACATGGTCATTAATCCCCTTCAAAATACTTCCCCTCACTTTAAACACACTTATCCCATCATTCTTGCCACTTTCTGAAGCAGTTCTGGAAGTTCTCTTTCATGTTTTTGTGCTGTCATGGCTGCCTCAATGTCCTGAATCAATTCAAAACATTTATCTTTTGTGGTCTTTTTGACACTGGGGAAGAGGCAGAAATTGTACAGTACCAGATCCAGTGAATAAGATGGATGAAGACATGCTGTAATGTTTTTACAAGACTGTTAGATGGCACTTGGCAGCAATATTCACCATATTCTTGATCACACCATGTAAAGACATTCTTATGGAAGAATAGTAAATTTTAAAAAATTTAAACATTCACTGTATATTTTGATCACACTTTGTAGCTTGTTTAGATAAAGTTCTGAAGACACTTCCAACAGTATTGGTTATTTGAAGACTTTTGGCTAGTAAAAGAGACCCTATTACTTTTACATGTAAGCTTCTCTCCGAAGAATGTGTGTACTCATTCTTCCTTCCCATTAATATCCTAATTTTCAAAATTCTGTACATTACCATTAAAGATACGTCTGCATGTGTGCATGCGGCCTGTGCGCGCGCGTTTGTGTGTATGTGTGTTGGAGACTGAATGCAGGACTTCCTGCATGATAGACCATATTACTAGTGCTCTACAGACAGAGACAGAGACAGACCAGACAGAGAGAGAGACAGAGAGACAGAGAGAGAGAGAGAGAGAGCCAGGCAGGCAAAAACTGTCACTTTTTTTTCTTCTTCCTCAATCCCTGTTTAAGGTATTATAGTTTCAACTTTACTATCTTGGCATTAAACTCAAAGAGTTTAGTCCTCCCTTCGCCTTCGGGTCTTGCCAGGCGGCTCGTCCAAGTCCAGGGCGCAGGCCTCAGGCTCCGAACCACTCGGGGTTGCTGCCATCCTCACCGCCCTGGCGCTTGCTTGGCGAGGCCGAGGACTCTGCCACAGCCCCAGCGTCAAATTTGCACTTTGGGGGACAGCGCCGGCGGCAAGGCCCCCGACGGAGGGGTCCAGAGCAGCAGCGCCTCCGGGAAGCTGTGGAACAGGAGCCACTTCCAAGGTGTTCACAAGGGACAGCAGGGCCACAACAGGACACTGGAAAGAAGCCCCTAGAAGGCACAGATACACAAGACAGCTGCTGCTGAGGTGGACTGGCACAAAACCCCACCTGTTTTCTGGACCACTCTGCCACAAGCAAAAGTGTTAGGTCATTGATGGAGGGTGAGAAGCAAATATCCCCCCAGAACGCAGATCCTGCTTTTGTAGGAGAGGCAGAAGCCAAATCCCTCAGCCTCTGAGAGAAGGATAGTACACCCACTCAATCCCACGACAAAGCCAAAGACCTTTTATTTCTTGGAGGTTGGAGGTAGAAGCAAAATACCTTCATTTGGAGGACAGTAGAAATAATTTTTTTTTGGTACTGGGCATCTAACTCAGGACCTTGTGCTTGCAAGGCAGGCGGTGGAACCACTGAGCTAAATCCCCGGCCCTCAGTAGAAATAATTTGATACTACTATTACTTACTACCACTACTGGGGAAGGAGCAGAAAATCCTGCCAAAGACTAACCACTGACACATGAGGAAGAGAGCTGGGAATACTAAGAAAGACTCACTTCTAAAGGAGGCTCAGGCACACAGTTACACTACCTAACACTGAGGCTGGGATAGGACAACAAAGATTGTGGGAGAGTGGCAAGCAGAATTAGTGTTCTAAAATTTCCAGGAGACGACATTGATGTGAGCCCCACCCCACCCCACCCCACCCCCCAGCTTGCTAGGCCAACATCTGTGACTTCTACTGGCTGCATACTGCATGGAAAGGACCCTGGGAAAACCTGAAGCCACACAATGGAGGCAGTGACCTTTGAGGATGTGGCTGTGAACTTCACCATAGAGGAATGTGTTTTGCTGAATCCATCCCAAAAGAAGCTCTACAGCGAAGTGATGAGGGAAACTTTTAGGAACATGGCTGCTATAGGAAGAGCCTGGGATAACCAGGAAGTTGAAGAAGAGTACAAGTTATTGGAGAAATCTAAGAAATGAAGAGGTAGAGAAATGCTATCAAAAAGAGGTTGAAATCAATATGAAGAAATACTCCTTTGGACTCCAGATGCTAATGTAGACATGAAACAAGCTGGTTTAAAACCAGCTGAACGCTTTGCTTGCAGAAAGCCCGATTGGGCATTTGTCACTAAATGTGCCCATTGTAGCGCACACTGGACTGAAGACATATGAGTACTTGGGATTGGAAGAGAAGCTGTGTAAATGTAATGAACATGGAAGAACCTGTGGTGATTTCCAGTCCTTTCAGAAGCATGCAAGGACAAAGACTGGAGAGAAACCCTATGAATATGCTCAATGTGGGAAATCTTACTCTGATCTTAGAACTCACCTTGGAGAGAAGACCTTTATATGTAAGAAAAATTTGAAAACCTCCAGCACACCTAATGATGCTCAGATCCATGAAAGAAATCACAATGGGGAGAAACCCTACGTATGTAAGCAGTGTGGGAAAGCTTTCAGTAGGCGTCAACATTGTAAACAACATGAAAAAATTCACACGGGAGAAACCCTATGTATGTAAGCAATGTGGGAAAGCTTTTAGTACACGACATTATTGTAAAATACATGAAAGAAATAACACTGAGGAGAAATCCTACGTATGTAAGCAGTGTGGGAAAGCTTTTAGTACACAAGGTTATTGTAAAATACATGAAAAAATTCACACGGGAGAAACCCTATGTATGTAAGCAGT